TTTTCTCATCTCTGAAAAATTGTAGGTGAAAAGCTGGGGAAAATTTTAGCACTATTTCCAACCATGTACCTATCAGGTGGTACTTGCGTTACACTTATTATGATCGGAGGTGGAACTATGAAGATTTTCTTCCAAACTATTTGTGGTTCTAATCATTGCCATTTAATCTCTCTAAGTACAATAGAGTGGTACATTGTATTCACTGTTTCAGCCATAGTTCTTGCTCAGCTTCCTAATTTAAATTCCATTGCTGGAATTTCTCTAATCGGTTCAATCTCAGCAGTGACTTATTGTACCTTGACATGGGTAGTTTCTGTTGTCAAAGAAAAGCCAGAAGGGGTTTCTTTTGAACCTGTTGAAAATATATCTGATTTGGGAAGAGTTTGTAGCATTTTGAATGCTATTGGAATGATAGCTTTTGCTTTCAGGGGACATAATCTTGTCCTTGAGATTCAGGTTGTTAACTAGTCAATATTACAAATTAAAGTTGTGTGCTAAATATTTACTGTCAAAGTTCTTGTTTTCTTAACATGGGTTGGTTTGTCACAGGGTACAATGCCTTCTAGCTTAAAGAACCCATCTCATTTGCCCATGTGGAAAGGAGTCAAGTTCTCATATTCTATTATTGCTTTGTGTTTGTTTCCACTGGCAATTGGAGGCTACTGGGCTTATGGAAACCTGGTAAGGTCTTTAAAAGTTTTTTATTATTGTTTTATAGGAAAATGTTCAAATTTATCCCTCTATTATATAAAATATCTCAATTTTACTGTCCATTATACTTTGAGGTGTTCATACCCTTACCGTTAGAGCAATTTGTCTCGTATTTGTCCTTGATTTTAAGAGAGCTCCGGTATCAATTGAGTGGATTTCACGTGCCAAAATACTTCATGAAAGGTCTACATTTATTCCTCTATTTTTGACAATGGTTTAAAATTGGCTGCCACTATAGTTTAGGGTAGAGCTCTGTCAAGGTAAAGGTCAAATACGAGACAATTTGCTATTACCAAGGGTATGAATAATGTCAAAGTATAAGTAAAATTAAGATATTTCATGGAAGTAGATGAGTTTTCTTTTTCATTGTTATACACATTTCATAAACCTAAGGAAAGGAGCATAAGTTGAACATGAACAATGTTTTTGTTTTGTCATGACAGATGCCAAATGGAGGGATATTGAGTGCATTGGACAAGTATCACAGAGAAGACACATCAAAAGTAATTCTAGGAATAACAAGTTTACTGGTGGTAGTCCATAGCCTTACATCATTCCAAATTTATGCAATGCCAGTTTTTGATAATTTGGAGTTTAGGTACACAAGCAACAAGAAGAAACCCTGTCCATGGTGGATTAGAACAGGGTTTAGGGTATTTTTTGGATGTCTAGCATTTTTCATATCAGTGGCACTCCCCTTTTTGCCTAGTTTGGCTGGTCTAATTGGGGGAATTGCTCTGCCAGTTACCTTGGCATATCCTTGTCTGATGTGGATAATGATCAACAAACCTAAGACATACACTTCAAGTTGGTATGTTAATTGGTCTCTTGGAATTTTAGGCTTGGTTCTAAGTGTTCTTTTGGTATTTGGTGCTATCTGGTCTATAGCAACTCAGGGTATGGATGTTCACTTCTTCAAGCCACAATGATGACCAAAATGGTTCAGAAAATTGATCAAAATCTAACCAGCACTGGACAGGAGATTAACTTTATTGGTTAAGAAAAGGGGAAAGGGCAAAATGAACCTTACAGCAGCCAACAAAGGGGAAAGTTGCAAACTCTTCATGTATTCTGTAAATATAAAAGCATGCAAGCACCTATATCTTGTTTGTCAATTTCATATGTACAAATCCTATTGCTTGTAATAGGAAAAGGAAAGAAAAAAAGTTCAGATTTCAAAGATCAAGATCCTTCTGATTTGGGGACATTTGGTTCTTGTGGTTAGCACTCAATGTTGACAGGACATATGCATTTCATGAGATAACCTTTGACTGAACAAGAGATAAATATAAGAGTGAAGTTACAGGAAAATTAATTGTAGGGCTGAGGCTAATCTTACATTATGCTTCATCAACCTGCCCAAACACCTATAATTATTTAAGATTTTTCATATTTCATATCAAAACATTGGTTGCGCGTAGCAAAAAGTTGTTCTCCATTCACACACCTCTACATTGATAAGGGAAGAAGCATCCTTCGCTTCTTCTTCCGGGCTGCTGTAACTTGCTTTGCAATTGTCACGCATAAAAGCAATAGCAAGCTAACACATACTAAGATAAATGCAAGCTTCAGATGCTTGAAATACAGTGAAACTGCAGAGAAAACCAGGAGTGCCAAAATAACCAGTTCAAATATTACAAAGATGACGACATCTGCCCTGCATCAAAGCAAAAGAAAAAGGAAATAAGAACAAGAAGGCTCGGAAACCACTGACAAAATATTCGAGTTGCTATGAATTTAAGCAGTAAACTATTGAGAAAAGGGCAAAATCAAGTAGCATGCTACTAGTTATTTCACAAAAGTAAGTTGCAAAAGCAATTGCCCGGAAAAAATTAAACAGCTCCCAAGCCCAAATGCAATTCATTCATTCTTCATCACAGTCCACTCTCAACGAGGTTTAAAATGATCATTTCTCCATTCTAGCATTTGCAATCTCCCCATGGGTTAATGGTTCTGATTCTTTCAAGAAAATTTTCACACATCCTAATATTATGTTTTAGTATTCTCTAGAAGTTTCAAGTTGCAGCTTTGGAGCACGCTCAAGTCCAACAATGTTAGATGCTTTTGATTTCTCTTTCCACTCAACATCAAACTACGACCGAGTTCTGCATGATTTATTAGTCAACAATGACATCTCAATGTGTTCTAAAAGGCAAATTTCACTCAGTATGTTCAAGAAAAGTTGGGACTCAGCTTGGAAGATTCTCAGGGTGAAGCAGCCTCTAAACACAAAAATGGAGTTTACTTCTGGAATTTTAGATTCAGGAAACATCTAAAGCACTGAGCATGTTAGTGAGAAGGATCTCATGAGACATATGATGGAATAACAAATAGGATGATTTAGGTTACTAGAGATTAGAGAATCAAGCAAATGATAGATTTGGTTTCCAAATCCTCCTATTATTTAAAATGCAAGAACAAGAGCTTTCACAGATAAGACTATCAGCTTCCAGAGCGCAAAGAGAGTGTACGGGATTGCATTTTCACAACTGAGAACATTAAACAATGACAAAAATTAATCAAGCAAGTGCACCATGAGTAAGGAATCGGGGAAAACATCAATTATGACTGCATAATAAGGTACTCAATTAGCTTTACGAACTTCTCGTTAGCCTTCTTAGGCTGGTTACTTCAAGTGCCTTGGTTTCAATTATTTAGCTTGCTTGCATACAACAAGCTCGAACTTGCAAGATTCAACACCGGAACTCTATGGGTTCCAATGTAGCTGATGTGGAGGGAACATAACAAAAGCTTTGGATAAAATGGATACTGAAGAAGGGGAGATACATCAGACATACTTATACCGTGTCTTGCAGTTGGGGATTTCACCTTCCTCGTTTTACTGACCATGCAATAATTGACCCGGTCTAAACCTCTACTAGATTCAGAGAAGTGAGGAGAAAAGGCAGAGTAAGAATTGATGATTCCAACGTCTCATTTCGAGCTAACATATAAAGTCCATATGTAATATTCAATCGATTCATCAGTTAGCAAGAATTACTAATTCCTACATCTCATTTCAAGCTAACCCATAAAGTCTACATGTAAAATTCAATCACATAATCTATTCACAGCAAATTTGGAAACTAAATGGTTAATTTAGCTGAAACTTGTCAACATAAGCATTTCTAATTCAATATATAGCCAGATGAAACTTTTCCCGCAAAAAAGTTCTTCCATTATATTTAACAAAAAAACACATTATGCCTCTCATCCAAAGTTCTCGACTTTAATCACACAGCCATAAAACTTTTGGAAACTCCGGTAGTCCGGTTGGTCTAATAACAAGAACAACTCCAAAATTCATAAGTTTTCCTAAATCAAATCCAAATTTAGCAAAATGTGTATACACGTAAATTAGAAAAGCGGGAAATGAATTGAAAAAGAAAAGCTATAATAGGAAATGAAGAGAAGAAGAAAAAATGGTACTAGTAATAAAATACCTTGTAGATGTGAGATTAGAGGTGGAGGAGAAGACAGAGACGGAGGCCCAATCGTGCTTCGATCGAATCTGATATTCTCTCAGCTGCTCCGCCAAATTCGATCGCGTTATCATGATTCCGCCCCCCTTCCTCCTGCCTTTTCTAGCATCTCCTTCTCAATCTAACAAATGCAAATGCGTAATTCTCTAGTTTGTGGCGGAGATTTCGAATTGCCGTTCCTTTCCGGCGACGGGATTACGGCCGCCGACGGAAGGAATTTGAATTACTAAGAAGATAGAATCCGACACCAGTATCTCACCTTCCTTGGGTTATTGACTCATTGTTAATTCCCTATTTTCACTTTTATCCCTAAAACTGTTTTGGAGATATTACTAATCTTTGCAAATATGTGTGTATGATTTATGCTTTTTCGAAATGACATAAAATAAAAGTATATAAATATCATATAAAAACAAAAAATTTATAACTGTGGACTTATATCATCATGGATATTGAGCTCGTGCTTATTCGTGGGTGTTCATAAAGATCCGAAAAACCGAACCAAATCAAAAATCGAACCAAATCGATCAAAAAAAATCGATACTTTTTAGGTTTGATTTGATTTTGGTTTTGAATTTTAAAAACCGATCAAATTTTATTTGGTTTTGGTTTTAATAAAAAAAATAACCGAAAAAACCGAACCAAACCGACTATAGAAGTAGCTATTTAAATTTATTATTACACCTATATATATGTATATTTTTATATAAAGTTTCTTAAATGTTATGGTACATATTAGTCGTTTGTATTTTAAGTCTAGTTCTTTGTTATTACAATAATCTAATTCTTTGCCTTTACATTTTAGTTTGATTGGTAGTTTACTTTTGCTAAGTACAAGAATAATTTTATGTTAAAAATAATTAATTTTTAAATGAGTACTTAAACTATTCATCATTGTTTGATTCAATTATCATCAATATATCATAGTAAATGATAGATTTCTCAAATAGCGATTGATTTGATAGTGTTACATTGAAAATGTAGTCGCCAGAATATGTGTTTGGTAGTGTATGTCTCATTATTAAAAAAAACTATAAATAACCGAAAAAATTGAAAAACCGATGAAAACCGACAAAAACCGAATCACTAAAAACCAACTTAATTGATTTGGTTTGGTTACAACATTTTAAGAACCGACTTACTTAGTTTGGTTTCTTTTTAGGGAAAAACTGATCCAAATCGAACCATGAACACCCTAGTAATAACATATATGCAAAAAAAAATTATAACTATGGACTTACATTAGAGGAATCAGTATTGAACTCGTACTTATTAGCAAGAACAATAATTTACTTTACTACTAATATTTATTTATTAGTAGTAAATAACAAGCCAGTGAGTTAGCCAGTGATTATCAAGGCATGGGCAGCATATTTTGATTTCAACAGTGAGATCCTGAAGACAATTCCACTATGGGTCAAATTACCAAATCTTCCATTGAACTGTTGGGAGATGGAAACTGTGAGTCGCATTGGAAGTGCTATGGGGAATCCATTATATGCAGATGATTGTACTACAAAAGTTGATAGAATATCCTATGCTCGTTTGCTGATTGAAATGGATGTCACTAAAGAATTGCCACAGAAACTTGCAGTGAAGGATCCACAGGGGAAGCTGTTTACACAAGAAGTACACTATGACTGGGTGCCGGACTTTTGTGGCTCATGCTTGCAAGTAGAGGCGGATCCAGGATTTAAATCTTATGGGTTCAACTTTTAAAGTTTTTAGCATTAAACCCATTGTATTTTTAAAGTTATGGGTTCATATCTATTTTTTGTAATTTTAATGAATTTTTAGACATAAATTTTTACTCCGCGTCAAAAATTATGGGTTCAGTTGAACCCGGTGATACTACGCTACATCCGCCCCTGCTTGCAAGTTGGACATGACTGTGCAAAGAACAAAGCTCAAGTAAGGAAGGAAGTAAAGGAGAAGACTCAAAATATACGAGGGAGGAATCATAATAAGCAATGGATATGGCAAACTAAACAACCACAAGAACAAGTGGTAGTGCAGAAACAGGGGACAGGAAAGGATAGTGGATCATCTCAGCAAAATGATACTAAGGAGGATGAAGGATGGCAAGAAGCTAGAAGGAAATCTGCCAGTAAGGGTACTAAGAATGCTAGTATTGAACCAAATCAGGTGCCTACTAACAACGGATTTGGTCCACTGTCAGAATGCAATATATTAGCAGACAAAGGAAGAGTAATAATTGAAGGGCAGAGTAGTAAAGGCAGGGGTGAAGGAAGAGTTCAATCGTCTCAATATTACAAATGAAGGTTGTTACATGGAATGTTAGGGGGATAAACAAAGTATACAAGCAAAAGGAGTTGAGGGAGTTCTTGAGGGAAAATAAAATAAGCGTACTAGCTATTTTAGAACACAGAGTTAGTAGTAATAAGATTCCATAGATAGTCAATAAAATTGCTTATGGTTGGGAATGCTGTACTAATGGCAATACTGCAACTAGAGCTCGTATATGGCTAATGTGGGACCCAACTGCAATCAGTTTTACGATGCTAGAGACACATGAACATTTCATACATGGGATCATTCAGGCAAGGGATAACAGTACTGTTATTCATTTTTCAGCAATATATGGGCTTCATACTGTTCCAACAAGAACGGATCTATGGAGGAAATTAAAGGAAATAGATGAGCTAATGATTCACCCTTGGTTAATAATGGGGGACTTTAACTCAGTCCTAGATGTGGAGGATAGAGTACAGGGAAGTGAGATACAGGAATATGAGACTAGGGACTTCAGGAGGTTCATAGAGGAATGTGGCATCACTGAACTTCAAACAAGTGGGAGACTATTTACATGGACTAATAACCATGTATATAGCAGAATAGATAGAGCACTAGTAAATGCACAATGGATGAGTACAATGCCTCCTTCACTGGTGCACATAAATGATCCTTACTTCTCAGATCATTCCCCTTTATGCATTGAGGTGGAACAAGAAAGCATTAGCAGAAAGAAGCCATTCAGATTCCTAAATTGCTTGGCAAATCATGCTGAATTTGAAGAGATTGTGAAGAGCAGCTGGTCAATTCACACACAGGCAAAAGGAACGATGACTATTTGGTTCAAACTGAAGAAGGTTAAAGGAGCTCTGAAGAAGCTAAACAGCAGAGAGTTTATAGGAATGGAGAATAAAATCAAAAGTATAAGGGATAGGCTGAAGGAGTTACAAACACAAATGAGGGATATAAACCACACCACAACACAGTTTGAGGAAGAGAAGGAATTAAAACAGCACCTGGAAAAGTGGAGCTTAATAGAAGAAAGCATATACAGACAGAAGTCAAGGATACAATGGCTCAAGCTGGGCGACTCTAATTCAGCATACTTCTATGCTAGCATGAAAGGGAGAAGAGCACAAAATTATATAAAGCAACTAACATCCACAACATGGAGATTACTGCTGAAACCTGAAGAGATACAAGAATAGATAACTGGTTTTACAAGAACTTACTGGGCTCCAGTCAGAATAACCTACCAGCCATTAACCCTAACATCATGAAAGAAAGACCAAAGCTGAATAGAGATCAACAGATTCAATTAATCAGGGCATTCACAAATGAGGAAGTATTTCAAGCATTAGAAGGGATAGACACTTTGAAAGCTCCAGGGTGTGATGGATTCAACTCGTTTTTCTTTCTGAAAACCCGGCACATACTGGGAGATGAGGTAATTAATGAAGTACTTAGTTTTTTTGAGGCAGCTGATATGTATGGTCCTATAAATTGCACTTCTGTCACATTGATACCAAAGGTGAAGCATCCTGCCACTATCAAAGAATATCGGCCTATATGTTGCACAACTTTGTACTAAATCATTTCCAAAATGATAACCAACAGATTGCAACATGTCATGGATCATTTAGTTGACTGCAGTCAGAATGCTTTTGTTCCTGGAAGGGTCATCCATGATAATGTGGTATTAAGTCATGAGCTCATCAAAGGGTATGGCAGAAAGAGAGTATCACCAAGGATAATGATCAAAGTGGATATGCAAAAGGCTTATGATTCACTAGAATGGGATTTTTTGGAGCACATATTGTCAAGTATGAACTTCCCAGGAAAGTTTATAACATGGATTAACAGATGCATCAGAACAGTCTCTTACTCTATTGTTATAAATGGAAATCCAACACCACATTTTGAGGCTAAAAAAGGACTTAGGCGGGGTGATCCATTATCTCTTTATCTGTTTGTGCTTGCCATGGAGTATCTCATCAGATTACTCAAAACATTAAAGGGGAACCCAGAGTTCAATTATCACCCTAGATGCGAGAAATTGGGAATAATACAGCTTGGATTTACAGATGACCTACTCATGTTTTGCAGAGGAGAAGTGGTATCAGCTTCATTGCTATTTGAATACTTCCAGCAGTTCTCAAGAGCATCTGGATTGATTGCCAACATTAATAAGAGTAGCATATACTTTGGGGGAGTGCCTGATCATGTAAAGAATGAAATAGTCCAGCTGCTTGGTTTCTCTGTTGGTACTCTACCTTTCAAATACCTTGGAGTGCCTCTAAGTTCCAAAAGGTTGGTTGTAGCACAATGCCGACCTTTGATTGATCGGATGCTTGGAAGAATAACAAACTGGACTGTCAGATTTCTATCATATACTGAGAGATTGCAATTAATTAAAAGCGTGCTCATAGCTATACAGTCTTATTGGTCACAGATATTTCAGTTGCCTAAGGAAATAATCAATAAGATTGAAGCTGTTTGTAGGACTTTTCTCTGGACGGGTAATACAGAAATTAAAAAGAAGGCTTTGGTCTCGTGGAATAAACTGTGTTTACCTAAGACGACTGGGGGGATGAATATTACTGATATTCACATATGGAACATAGCTGCAATTCTGAAACACTACTGGAATATGGCTCAAAAGAAGGATAAATTGTGGATTAAGTGGGTGCACACTTACTATATAAAACACAGGGATATGAGGGAGGTAGATGCTAAGAATGCCTCGTGGGTTATCCGAAAGATCATCAATGAGAGGAAACATTTGGAAAAGGCAGAAGTGAAGATAGAGGAAGCTGTGCTGGAGGGGAAATTCTCAATAGGGAAAATGTATAATATGCTAAGAGGAGAATTCCCAAAAATGAGGTGGAAGAAACTGATGTGCAATAATCAAGCAAGTCCAAAATGGGTGTTCATACTATATTTGGCGGTTCAAGAAAGATTATACACTAAGGATCGGATGATAAAATGTGGCTTGATGACTGATCCAAAGTGTATGTTATGTGAAGAAGAGCAGGAGAGCCATCAACATCTATTCTTTAAATGTAGAACAGCTGCAAATGTATGGCTATGTATTCCGAAATGGCTGGGCATCAACAGGGATCATATGGAATGGAGGGAAGAGATAGATTGGGCTAGTATGCAGGCTAATAGCAAGAACTCAAATGCAGAAATATACAGCCTGAGCTTGGCTTGTACAACGTATCAAATTTGGCAAGAGAGGAATTGCAGAATCTTTCAACAAAAGAAGAGGAATATAGAAGAAATAGTAAGAACAATTGTGCAAGAAGTACATTGTAGAGGTAGAATTAAGACTAAGTTGGGAAACCACTTACAGAAGATAAATTTTTATCCGAGTATGTAAGGATATAGGGAGTAAGCTCATGTTAATTAGATGAAGTTGAGATAGTGATAGAGCTAGAGTTGGGATCTATGTCAGGGGACTTTGAAATACTTGTAAATATTTTTCACTGGTAATAAAATTTGATAATTACCAAAAAGAAATAATATTTGTTTATATATCTCTATTTCTATGTTATATTAAAAGCACGAAAGCCCTTAGCAAAATATTATTCGTCTTTTTTACCCTTTAAAACAGATTTTATATTGGATGAAATTATCATTTAAAGTAAATTCCTAATATATATAGGACTTTAAAATAACTAAGGTTTTACTTATTAAATTTTTTCTTATTTGATTAGGTGAGAAGTTTTCAATTAAATTTTTACCCTATAGAAACTCATTTCCTACTCAATTAACATTTCTTTATCACTAAAATCAAATTTTCAATCACAAATTATTCTCTTGAATTAATTTTTAACATTAAAAAAAAGGACTTTTACCTTCCGAAGAACTAGATTGCTTGGGCAATAGTTTACTCCAACGATACTTTTTTTTTAAGAAGGAACAAGAGTTGGAACAAGAGTTCTTACCTTTTTGGTTGAAAATGTAAATTTTATGAAAGTCAAAGTGAAAAATTTATAATAGACTTTAAAATCTTAAATGTTTAGTTCATCTAAAGTATCATATACTAACGTGATTGTAATTTCATTTAACACGGATTATAGTAAAATATAATTTCTCCAACACATAATTATCTTTTAAAGAAAAACAATTAGCTATTGAAAATAAATATAATTAAGATTTGCTACAACTTGATAATCAATAAAAAGGGAATAATAAGAGAAATAACATGAGAAAATATGCTAACTCTTAGGAAGAGACACAAAAACTTTGTTAAAAATTGTAATGTGCAAATGTAACTGTTTAAATTTTGTATTTGAGTTTTAATCTAATTATTATTAGTTTGCTTATTTCATCATTCACGAGCCAATTTTCGAACCAAGAAAAAATTATATTAATTAATCTCATTATATATATAAACTATAATTAATTTTGTACTATAATTGAACTCCTTTCCAACTCAATTAATATTTTATTATTGACTTCTTGTATTATATTTGAAAATCACGCTCAATAATTAGAACAAAAAACTAAAAATAAATTAGAGAGAGAGAGAGAGAGATTGGTAGTTGATAAAAGTCAACAACACTATCGGTTTTGCAAACACAAAAATCTAAAAATAATATATTAATTATTTTTTACCATTAAAAATAGAATATAATTGGATAAAATATTAATTACTAAATATTTGAAATTTGGTATGAGCTAGGATTAACAATTCGAATCAACAAGAAAACAAAGTATTTTCTTATTTGAGAACAAATAATTGAGAATTAACTAATTAGCAAAATAATCCAATTAAATTCTTCTACAATTTAGCATACAAGTAAAATCATTTTTTTAAATTAACATAATAGGGTACGTAAATTATTATGCCATTAAGAAGAGAATCGGCAGCAAAAGAAACAAAAAATAAGAGGAATATCATTTTTAATATAATATTAAGAGTTAGATTGATAAATTGCTATTCATTTAACTAAATTAACATTCTTCACTTAACTGATATTTTTTCTTAGCTTTTATTTTATAACTTAAATATGGAGTATAAATTATTTTATATAATATTTTATATAATTTTAAAAATATTAATACTAATTGAGTTGGGTACACGCGTAACGCGTGTAGCATAAGACTAGTATAATATATAAGTGGGAAGGGGTGTACGAACAAAGCTATAATCAGTTGTACAAGAAGTTTTGTTAATTGTACTATGAACTTGGACCCATTTCATTGGTTATTGAATTTTTATCTTTCTTCTCTCAACATGTGTACTGCTTTGTCTTGAGGAAATGATGCGGAGGTTTTGACCAATATTGTCCCTTATCTTTGAGGGTAGGTCTATTTTGGTCCCTCAAATATAACCCTGAGCATATTTAATCCCTTAAGTATGTTAAAGTGGAGCATCTTTAGTCTCACTGACAAAGGTTTTGACCAATATTGTCTCTTATCTTTGAGGGTAGGTCTATTTTGGTCCCTCAAATATAACCCTGAGCATATTTAATCCCTTAAGTATGTTAAAGTGGAGCATCTTTAGTCTCACTGACAAAGGTTTTGACCAATATTGTCTCTTATCTTTGAGGGTAGGTCTATTTTGGTCCCTCAAATATAACCTTGAGCATATTTAGTCCCTTAAGTATGCTAAAGTGGAGCACCTTTAGTCTCACTGACACAATATATTCAAAAACTAACGGTGTTACCCAACTCTGATTCATAAAGCAAATCTTCTGCGCTAAAGCGAAATGTTTCCTCTTATTTTATTTGATAACACAAATTATCACTTTAATTCCTCATTTTTAGATAATGCCTTCTAAAATTTTGATCTTGAATATATCCCATTCTGTGCCAGTTTTCAATAAGAAAATGACACTGTATAACCGTTGTTAAAATTTCGTATCTTATTTCGGCTATTATTTTAACAACGGTTATACAATGTCATTTTTTCATTGAAAACTGGCACAGAATGGGATATATTCAAGATCAAAATTTTAGAAGGCATTATCTAAAAATGAGGAATTAAAGTGATAATTTGCGTTATCCAATAAAATAAGAGGAAACATTTTGCTTTAGAGCAGAAGATTTGCTTTATGAATCAGAGTTGGGTAACACCGCTAGTTTTTGAATATATTGTGTCAGTGAGACTAAAGGTGCTCCACTTTAACATACTTAAGGGACTAAATATGTTCAGTGTTATATTTGAGGGACCAAAATAAACCGACAAGGAACAATATTGGTCAAAACGAAACTAAAAATGATAAGGTACTATATTGTTCAAAACAACACTAATTCGCTCTCACTTCTCAGTTCTCTGTTTCCCCTCTCTTTCCTTCTATCCCTCTCTCTGCCTTCTCCTCTCTGTATCTACATAAAGGGAACACCAATCTGTCGAGAAAATTACAAACCAAAAACAGGCCAATCTGAATTCTAAACCCTAGATTATTCTCTAAGTTATGTATTTTATTCAAAATTCTGATGAAGCAGCACTACTCAAAGTGGCAAAGGATGTCCTACATCATTCAGAAGTGTCCTCCCTTGAAAAAGGAGAGTGTTTATTGTATTAACTTTGGAGGTACTGAATCACTGATTATAACTTTATGCACAATATTGATTTTGTTTTTTCCCCCCTTTCTCTTTTTCTCTCTCTATTTTAACAGCTTGTTTGGATGGTTGTTACGTATAGTTTCATAATGTATGTATTATATTGTACTGTATTATTTGATAAATATAATGTTTGGATAGATTGTGTCGTTTGCCATGTTTCATATATCATTAATCAGCAATATAAAGAATAAACTTGCAATATTATAAAGAAAAATTATGATACAAATTAAAATTACTATATAAAAAAGTAGGGTAAATGATAAAATAAAATTATTTAATAATAATGAAGTGTGAGATTGAGATAAAAAGACAAGGTAACGACGCTACCACACTAAATCGGTCGTTACATAAAGTGGCACATTTCGTCATTATGTAACGGCGGATTTAACGATATGATACAATAAAATTTAAGTAACAATCAAAACAAATATCGTATTTAAAGTAACAATACGATACAATACAATGGGTAACAACTATCCAAACAAGCTGTAAATCAAAGTGAATATAGAAATGTTAGATGATCTAATGATGGATTTCTACTCTTTTTTGCAGGATGTCTCTCAGAGTTGGCTTGGCTTAATTCCGTTGGCGTTCTATAGTTTGCGGTGATATTCCTCTCCTTTTGTACCTATTTAAGGTCTACTATTCTTCCTCTTTTAACATGCATGTGATTTTTTTTTTCCAAGTCATGAATAGATGCTGCTATTGTTGTTGGTTCATTGTTTTCTGATAAGTTTTCTATCGGTGTATATAATTAATTTCCCGGATCAAATAAAGGTGAATAACTTTTTTTTTTGGGTTAGACCGAAGTTGGGGATGGAAAGAAAACATGGTGTTATTACCTGAATATATCCTGTAATTATCTAATTAGTTCGTCACGTGACCGCTCCTTTTTTTGTGTGTTATATTGGAAACGTTGCTTAATGATTTGAATTAAAATAAAAGGAAAAAGATGCTTGTACACACATTACATTTGCTAACTCATGAATTGATTAATAGCTGCTTCGATGAAGCTTCCTTTACATTCTGTTTTCATTCAATTTCACTATTATTTCATTAGTTTCTTATCATTCAGATGTAATCTAAGCGTTTTTGCGAGTCAATGTTGCGAATGATGTTATTTGTTATTATAAAGGTAGCATCTTTCGAGTTAATTTAGAGTCTCTCTTTCTTCTTCCTTTCTTTTCTACAAAATATGAATTCTATCCCTTTTCTTGGAACTTTTGCAATTCAGAAAATACTGCATTTACTTAGTTGGACATTTTTACCAATATATATGATTATTCAGTATGAAGGAACTTCTACATATTGGGTTAGGATTTTTTTTCCTTTCATAATAAATAATTTCTGCTTTGTTAGCCTTATATATCTTTATGAATTTAAGATGTATAAAATGCATATGCATATTTTGTTGAATAAAAATTTACAGGTATCAAAACATCATGGCACAAGCTAGCAACATTAATCAAATAAGACCAGCTACACCTGATTGGACATGCAAAATTTAAGTTCTAAACAGAAGTTGAGAACGAGAAAGTTGTGAGAGAAAAGATAAAATTTCAGAATCTTATGTTACATGATGAAGAGGTAAATTTATTTATCTTCTATGCATACAATTAAACTTTGTTTAAACCAACTTAAATAGACTTTCTTTTAGTCCAATAGTGCAGTTTTTTTTGCAATCAGTATTATGAGTACATCAAAGACTGGAGGTCTTGTTTTTATTGGAAGTTTATGATTCATGAAAATATAATGATGCTTTGGTGACCCTTTTTTCTTTAAAACAATTATATATGCTATCTGACTTTGGCGCTTTTGACTTTGTCTTGCATAACCTTTAGTAATGAAACGAATCCAGCTTCCTTCTAATTAGTTGTAAAGTAGCATACAATTTCCAAAGCACTTTTCAGATATTAATAAGTCTGATTCAAGAACGATATGAGAATAAGCTTTTTTCAAACACCGGTTAATTCCATACAAACAATCGAAGTTTCATCTTGATCACTATTTCAATTCCCGAGTTATAAAGTTAGTAATAACCTTTAAGGTAGTCAAATCTCCAGCTTCATGTTCTTGAGAAAATAGCAGTTGGTAGAGAGTCACAAATGGTTCTTCAATTTTCCCTTTACTTCTAACCAAGCATCTTGCTCGCTCTTAATCTTATGGATGTTTAGTTTCCTGCTCCTATTCTTTCTGACATTCTGAAAGAAAGTTGTGTTAGAGTTGTTAACAAATTCCCATTGCCTTCTGATTTAAAATAGAAACTTCTGCCTTTATGGCTGAATATATTCCACAATAGATTTGTTTAACTGGTTTCTATTTTCTGAACCATTATTCCTTAATATGTCTCCTCAAGTTGCTATATTTTCTATCCAATATCTTTGCATCAACGTTTAAGTAATTAAAGTCACCTAATGCTTTTCTAGACCATTGACTTAATATACTACTAAGTTTAAAAATTACAACAGAGAACTAAAAAAGGAAAAAAGGCTTAATTACCTGTTAAAGGCCTGAGAAGCGATGTTAGTGAAGGAACATATGCATGTGATGCATTCTTGAACCTTCCATTGAAAGGAGGAAATTAAAATATTCTCAATTTGCGGTCAAGGTATATAGACATGGTAAAACAAGTCTTGGTACATATGGGGGAGGGAAAAAGCGAGTGCTAATCAAAAAAAAGAAACCAAGGTTGATCGCATCATGGTAATAGTCCTATAGCTTTGATCTGTACCTTATGTTTTCACCCATATTTATTGATTTCTTTTTGAATAATCTGCAATGAGAAAAACTTTTAGAGTATATTTCTGTCCTATCCGACGAAAATAAGTCATTGAATCAAGAGAGTGCTAATTAAATTCTTCACTAAATCTCAGTGTGATCATTAGTCTGGTTATTTAAGCGAGTTGATGCATGACGAACATAAGGAGTATCAACAATTGGTGATCTTGGCCTATTCTATTCTGTGTTTTCGCAAATTAGTCCCAATAAGATTTAGGAAAAAGGGCTGAAGAAGACTTGAGTATATCTATAAAGAAACTTCCTCCAAAAAAAGTTCAAGATTATGTTCCTTTATTTCCTTTTTAACTTTTCCATAAGAACCACCTAATTTCTGAAAACTTCCCAAATAAATTTCTCTTTTTTCTAGAATTTGTCCAACAGGGAAGCACCATTTCTCTCATAGAACTGCATGCTGCTGCCGAACTGCAAGATTAGTTGGTAGAAGGAGCCTCTCAAAGATATATTCTAAGTCAAATGAGGTAAATTCAGTAAGAAAACTCCCTTGATTCCTTCTCCGCGACTCTATATGGTTTTGGATGTACTGGCTTTTTTATTAGAGGCAAATTCAGGTAATCAATAGCATTCCCACCTCTGAAACCAACCTTATCAAAAAGAAGAAAAAATAATTCCTACATCTAAACCATGAAGCTAAAGTTTTTAAAAGCTAAGCTTTTTATGATATGTACAGGAAGGTATGGTAGAAATTTGAGGGTTAAAAAAAGCTATGATTATTTCTTTTATATTTAAGCCTTTCAACTGCTTAGGACCTCATTTGTACTATTAGTTGATAAATGGAAAATATTGCTGCTTGAATGTTGCTGTAGAACGGATTTTCTTCTATTGAATAATTTAAATAAGTAGATCTGCTTCTTACGTACTTTCCTTTTCACATGGAATTTTTCATTATCTACCACCCCGCTTTTCACATGGCATTTAGTAATTTCTTGCTTTGGTTTTGTCATAACAGGTCATTATCTTGTGAATGTGAAGATGGGCGGATCTATCTATATATAACTAGATGGGATTGGCCCGTGCTCCAACATTTTGGATTATAGTATATTTCATTTCGAGAGAGAGTTAAAAATTAAGCTAAAACAAAAATATGTGTAAGAAAACTTAAATTCAGAAGCAGCAATACAAAGTTCAATAGTTGACAAAGTTGACTGAAGCTCTCATACAACTGCAATTAATGTAGCTACCTTCAACCTCCCACAAAAGGAAAGCTGCATTCAAAGTGCCGTGAAAAGTTTCTACAGGAGGAGTCAAATCAAATATACAACAAAACTTTGTTGCTTCATCAGCAAGAACAGGGACATTAACGGTAGCACAGAGTTCCTTAACAAAGAATATAAAATTTAATTGGGTGGCTATGCAATCAAAGTGGAAAGTCCCACCACTTCATTGCTGACCTCTAGCTTAGAGTCAGCTGTTTCACTTTGAGTCTTATTAGTACAAGAGCACACATGTAATACAGTTGGTTCCATTCCATACCAGGGATTTTGTGACAAGAGTTCAGGTTCTTCGTCAGCTTGTTTCAGATTAAGATTTGCACCTCCTATAATATGGTAACAGTATTCATCTGAATAAGAAACATATTAGAGAAGAATAAGGGTGCAAGTCAATTCATACAAATAATGCACATTAATTCGCAACAATGATTCAGTTAGAAAGAAAAAGTTGTTACATATAAAGTTGATGTGTAATTTAAGACAGTACGTACCATTGCTATAGTTTCTACCGGAAAACCAATTGAAATTTGCGTTTCAAAAGCCTTTCTCAAGACCGCCACCATTTTGTTTGTAGATATAAATCCAAGCATTGCACATTGGTTTCACAATACAGACCCGGAAAAAATATACAAGAGCAGCAGTTAGACATTAAAAAAGCTTACACCTTTTGGATCAAAAATTGGAAGACTACGAATTCTTTTTTACAGAAAGGCAATTAAAATTCAACGAATTGAAATAGCATTCCCTCTAATCCTAATTCATAGAACAACAATGTTATTGTAGCAAAGGGGAGAGTTAGTATGCCAGGGAATAAGTTTGTCCGTAGCAACTGAAAGATGTTGGTCACACCATCATTTTCTAGGTGAACTAATCATCTAAGCCAACATTAAAAACTAGTAGATCTGTATAAATATTGTACATGGTGTGATAAGACTCAAAACGGACCAATTATATCAAAAGAGACCTGTAGACAACATATTGAGCAACAACAACAGGAAGTGAATGATGAGGAAACGGGGATCAGCAAAAGAATCAAAACAGATGATTTATTACTTTCCATCCAGCCAATTATCAGTTCATATAGCAACAAACTTGAAATGAGCAGTTTGAACAACTTCGACTAAAAATAATAAATGGAAAGGCAGCTCAAATGCAGCAAGTGATGGAAGTGCATAAAATGCTTCTTTATAAAAATGCCAAGTTGGAATACATAGTTTGAAAACTTTAAGGACATCAATCTTTGAATGGGTATTAAAGATATACCATAAAAATACTAATTGTTATGTAAAGGCATTCAAGAAATCTTTTGTTTCTTCTAGCAGATGTACGCATTCATAGCAACGTAAAAGAAAGATAACGACTATCATATTAAACAGACATGGGAAAAGTAAATTCAATAATTGCTACATCTATTCTTTTTAAACCTAAATTCTCGCAAAACAGTGACAAAATGAGCTAAAGAAAATACCTGAACAAATTTAAGCACATGCCGAAAGATTTCAACCAAAAGAAGTTCTGTCATTGGGATTTTTTTATTGTTGAAGATCGGTGGAAGAGGCAAACACGATCAAAACGAACTGAAATCATATGAATTTTTTGTTAATAAGCTAAGTAACAAACACATCGAACAGCGTAAGAGAAAGAAAAATCAGATGCGTACACGTGGCCGTTGAAAAACTACGCGGAATCACCATTTTACATACACCTCCATAACTAATTAGAGAAATGCAATTGTAAGTTTAAGTTTCTTCTTTGACATATGAGCATGCAGAGTTAAAATAAATATCAAAGACGTGCACTGTACATTTTTCTAACTCCTATTAGAAGTTGGCTATGAGTTATTGGTTTACCTATTAAATCAGGAAAACCATCGCAGTAAAAGTAACTTAGTTGCAGCAGTTCGATGAAAGTCATAGCAACTTAAGATGACAACATCGGACACCAAAGCTAAAAATCAAGAATAATCCTTAAAGAGACCAAAAAATACAACAACAACAACCCAGTATAATCCCATTAGTGGGGTTTAGGGAGGGTACGTAGTGCGTACGCAGATCTTACCCCTACCCTGGGGTTGAGAGGCTGTTTCCGATAGACCTTCGGCTGCCTCCCTCCAAGAACTCCCCACCTTGCTCTTGGGGTGACTCGAACTCACAACCTCTTGGTTGGAAGTGGAGAGTGCTTACCACTAGAGCAACCCACTCTTATCGTAAAATTAATAGATAGAGACCAAAATATAGATAGAGTAAAATTAATGAAAGAATATAAGTTTCTATTAGACAGGCAAAGAAGGTTAAGCGTCGGACCTGAGTGATGGATCTTTATCTTGCGACTATTGACATAGATGTTGTGAGCCCTAAGAGAAGAACAGTGATACTTTGTCTCCTTGACTACCAGGTAATCAGGTAGTTACGACTGGCTCCTTTTTTTCAAATATCAGTACATGGACACTTTAGCCTATGTTATCCAACTTTCATTTGGTTGGGGCAGAGATTCAGCCTGCCTTCCACCAAATATAAAAAAACCTTAGAGCTCACAAGCTCGTCTAGCAAGCAATGCAATGGCTGTTCAAAATGGACTATGATTTTGGGTAGTTAAGTTGTCTCATGACCCTTAAAAGTATATCGCGTAGAGTGTGCAGCAACATCTAATACCTGAGTAGGCATATTAAACAAAGACAGCTTAATGTAACTGCAATCTGAAGGTGAAGCATTTAGTGGAAGTATTAAAATCCTACTTCTTCCCATGATTTCAGGAAAAAAATGGAACAGAAGACCACGGCGGAGAGTGTAAAACAACAGCAGCAACAAACTTGTTCCAAGTCCAATTCCTCAGGCTACTCTGCTAATAAAAGCAACCTTTAAATGTGTCATATATGCTATCACTGTTATACTCTTCAATGCCACTAGATAGCATAACCTAACTGCAAGATACAAAAAAAATAATGCAGTTAGCCATGAAAATTTGTTTAGCAACTAAGCAACTTTATTTTAGCAGAGAAGAATAAATTCACAAAGAGTAGAATTGAATCAACAAATTAAACACAGTAGTGAAAGATCTAACTTCTAATAAACTGTTTAGCATCTTTATTTGTTTCATTCATCAAGAACAATTCCGTCAACATCGTCTTCTTAATCATAGGATTTTTCACAGTACTGTCTATTGTGTCAGTTTTTTTAAAAGAAACAAATTGCAGTCAATCAAGATGTAATTGGAGGTGATAAATACTTGGAGTCATTTCAGTGATAGGAAAGGCAAATAGGCACCACATAGCGTCGGGCGGTGATACCCATCTAGCAGATTGATATTCTTTTATCTCATCTATTTCTATATTTGTGTTATCTTCACATAGATTGTCACACCCCTTTTATGCCCCCAAAATGATAATGTGTATTATGGATGGTGGGTTAAAAAGTTTCTCCAATTAAAGTGACAAACTTGAATAGAGATTATTTTATTTACAGAGTCGCCACGTGGAATTGATTTTTGGGTGTTCCAANCGTGGTTCTAGCACGGTCGCTTTATTGACTACAACTTGGCTTAAGTTAATTTTGAATAAACTGTGATTTATTTATTTTCATGTTTTATCTATCCGCTTTTAATTATTAAAATATAAAATTATCTTTGAAACAAATCACGTGTGTGAATCCGTTTTGTTTATTGTGCCAAAATCATGTTACGCGTACATGTACACAATTAATAACATTTTATTATATAAGATTATTTTTGCCCAAAGTTACGCGAACGCATAATTCTGTTTTAATTTTGAAAATCTCAATTATGTCATACGAACGTATGCATA